TGGCTAACCCTGTGGCCCTGTCCAGCAGGAAGTGATGGTTGAGCAGGGAAGTAAATTGCTGGAATGTTGAAGACATGTCTCAACACACACAGAGCCTTTCAGCAAAGGCTGAGAGACTTCTTGGTTTTAGCCATTTAAGGATCTCTGGCTAATCATTAGTTAACCACTACTCAAACCAACCAGTGACTTCAGTGACCACACATGATAAGGAATACAGACTTAACAGAATTAGTTCAGGAAACTAAACAAATAAGCAGAAGGAACAACAGCAACAAACATCAAAAACAAAGATAGCCAGCAAATGACCAGAAACTAGGAGAGAGGCCTCAAACAGATCCTTCCCTAGCATCTTAAGAAGGAACTAATCCTGCTGACACCTTGATCTTGCCCTTCTAGCCTGCAGAAGTGTGAGACAAATTTCTGTTGTTTAAGGCATCCAGTTTGTGGTACTATGTCACAGCAGCTAATTAGGAAACTAGTACACACAGCCAATATCAATGCAGCTCACCTTGCCCTCCTGCCCTACTCTTCATTCCACCAAGTCCCAAGTCCATAACCAACACAACAGCATGCTAGGCTCTGGGGTTTACATAACCACGCAGAAATAGCCTCTCAACGTTCACCAGAACAAGGGCTTATGGAGCTATTGTGCAAACTGTCCTTTATACATAAAAGATAGGATTCTTCAAGGCAGGTCACCCACCCATGGACATACATACCAGAAACCATAATCTCAGATTCAGGAAAATCAGAAAATTTGTTTATAAAAAATTGTTTGTACTTAGCATAAAGAAAAAAGTGTGTATAATTAGCATAAGGAAACTTCCCAGGTGGTGGTGATGTGTTAGACAGCAATAACCTATGAAATTCCACCATTAGACACTGCCCTTTGTTTGGGACCTTCATTTCCCATTCCAGGCAGGTGCTTTTAGTTTTATCCAGGCCAGTGCCTGGAGCACATAAAGGCTGATGAAAAGCTCCAACTTCTTCCATTCTGCTGGTTCCTGATACCCCTTCCCCACTCTCCTAGCTTGGCTTCTGATCCCTGTCACCCACACCATCCTCTTTCTTTGTTCCTGCCCTGTTCTTCCAATGTTTACAGATGTCCTGGTTTAGACCTTCCCCCCCACCCCCAGACAATTTTGCTCTCCAGGGTGGTTTTAAACCATCACTTGTCCTGACTTGGCAGTCACAATATGCTCCCACTTGTAAGCTCTGTAGCTACTGCCTCATCTGATGGATCTCTGGAATGCTCCTACACCCTGTAGATCTTTCTTTCTCAGTCCTGACCTCTTGCTGGTGACCACTACCTGAAGCTCATAACCAGAACTATGCACAGAACTATTGCTGGCAGGTGCTTGGGAAGGGTCACTGTAAACAGGGCTCCATTGCTGACTGGAGCTAATCCATGAACCCAGTGTTGGTGATACTGGAGGCTACTCCTATGGTATACTATGAAACTGGCAAGTAACATAATTTTTTTTCCCTTTTTTTTGGTCTTTTTTCGTGACCGGTAATGGGATCGCAACCCTCAGTGTTGCGCCCGCACCGCGCTCA